GCTATAATGCTTGCATCCACAGGCTGGCACTCTCCACAGTTCTTGGCATTATGAAGTCACTTAGGTAAGTATGATCCTTATTCCCATTTTAGAGATGTGATAACTGAGTAGGTGTCCGTGGAAGGAGCCATCTATCCTTAGGGATTACCACTCCTCGCAGCCGAGACCCAGCTCTGCCCACAGTAGGGGCGTCAGGACTCTGCCATCCCAGGGTGAAGTGTGTGGAGAAACACACGCGAAGCTTCATTCTAACGTTCAGTTTCTTACAGAGCCAAAAAAAATAATGCTTTGCCCAAAAGGGTATGTTTTGGTGCAGGAGGAGGAGGGAATGGTGAGGTGAAACCCATTTTGTGGTGTTAGAATATCCATTTTCTGTTACCTGAATGACTTAAATCAAGAGCAATGCTGTGTTTGTGCACATGACATTCTTTTGACTGACTAGAATATTTCATTACATTCAGTTATTGTGTTTTTCTTAAAAGGATATACTTCTCATTGTATCTAGATAATAAAATGGTGATGTTCAGTAAGTCCTTCCACTGAAGCGAGGCTGCAACAGCTGTACTCATGATAATTCAACACACTTGCAAATAGTTCAGAGATGGGGCGCCTGGGTGGCTCAGCCAGTTAAGCGTCTGACTCTTGATTTTGGCTCAGGTCATGATCTCAGAGCTGTGAGATCGAGTCCCGCATCAGGCTCAGCGCTCAGTGGGGAATCTGCTTAAGATTGTCTCGATTCTCTCTCTCTCTTTCTCTCCCTCTCTCTCAAAAAAACAAAAAACAAAAAACAGTTCAGAGACAAAAAAGCCATGAAAATAGTTTCTTCTATATAGTTAGTTTTTTAAAAGTCAATATGAAGAGGGCGCCTGGGTGGCTCAGTTGGTTAAGCGACTCCCTTCAGCTCAGGTCATGATCCCGGAGTCCTGGGATCGAGTCCCGCATCAGGCTCCCTGCTCAGCAGGGAGTCTGCTTCTCCCTCTGACCCTCCCCCCCTCTCATGTACTCTCTCTCTCTCATTCTCGCTCTCTCAAATAAATACATCTTTAAAAATAAATAAATAAATAAGTAAATAAATAAATAAAGTCAATATGAAGCTATATTTGGCTATTCTTTTTTTTTTAAAGATTTTATTTATTTATTTGAGAGAGAGAGAGAGAATGAGAGATAGAAAGCACGAGAGGGAAAGAGGGTCAGAGGGAGAAGCAGACTCCCTGCTGAGCAGGAAGCCCGATGTGGGACTCGATCCCGGGACTCCAGGATCATGACCTGAGCCGAAGGCAGTCGCTTAACCAACTGAGCCACCCAGGCGCCCCATATATTTGGCTATTCTGATAGCAACAGAAAACCTCCTTCCAGAAATAAGTAGACTCTTGATGTTGGGAACTTTGTGTGTGAGGTAGTCTGAACTGTGAGTATTACATCTTTGACCGCCATGTTATTGTGAGTAAATCTTACCCTTAACTTGAGTTTCTTCCAGATAGTTTTAGGAAATAAGGAGGCTGGTTTTTAAGAGGCAAGAGCTTTTGACAATGCATATTGAATTTCTAAGTAGAACAAGTTCTCCACAAACTGGTAGAATGGGTCTTTCTCTGCCATAGTAAGAGAGCCAAGGAAATGATGCTGAGGTGTAGTTTCTGAGAATATCACAAATTGGATTGTGCCTGAAGACCATTGCACGAAAGGTTAACTCTCCACTAATAAACATACTTGTTAGAGTTTTCTGCTTTCTGGGATATTCAGGTATGCACCCTGGCCAGAGTTAACCCGTTTTATTTTTTTAAGATTTTATTTATTTATTTATTTGAGAGAGAGAGAGAGAGAGCAGGGGGAACAGCAGAGGGAGAGGGACAAGCAGACTCCATGCTGAGCATGGAGCCTGACACGGGGCTCGATCCCGTGACCCCAAGATCATGACCTGAGCCCAAATCAAGAGTCAGACTTAACCAACTGAACCACCCAGTCACCCCCAGAGTTAACCTTTTGCTCAGGAACAGTAATCAATTAAAAGTATCTGTTGAATATTTACTATAAGCCTAGAAATGTTAAACCATATAAGAGATTAAAAATGAACATTTTTAAGAGGCATGCCCTTAGCCTCAAAGAACATGTGGGGAAAGATGATAAGCATATGCTAAGTGCTAAGCTCTTCTTAAAATTATAAGTATAATAGGATTTAAGAAAAAGATAATTTTCTTGGTAGCTTGGAATAATATTTCAAAACTGCACAGATAATACAGTGCTGATACGATTTGGGTAGCAGAGTGGAGAATGGATATTGCAGGACAGAGAGAGGGGAGGAACATATTTGGCCTCTGAGCCACAGATATCTGGAATGTGCTGAGGGTCACGGGCAATAATGTCGATCTGTAGAATGTGTCCAGACATCCTTGAAAGCACGCTAATAATGTAGCTTGCTTTGGGAGGCAGGAAGGTGCCATTTTATCTTTTCAGCAAGAGATAGAAATAAGAATCTTTAATGAACCATTGCCTATCCGCATTTACATGAGAGAAATATTCCGACATACAAGAGCAAGAACATTCAGAACCCAATATAAGTTGTTATACATTTTTTTCTTAGTCATTGCAAGACTTGCTTGTTTATTTTTATCATTTGCATAGCAATTCTGTAAATTCTGGCAAAAGTAAGAAGAAATAGAATAATACCTGGAATAATAATAATTTTTCAAAAGTGAGATGATTAACTGGCACATTTGCCTGATCATTTGATATAAACAAGTGTGTCAGGAATGTGATTTCTTGACAGTCCTGATTACCTGTTACGTTACCAGTCAGACCAACAATGTTTAACCATAGCTGATGCTGGCACACTGATTTGTAGTTTATAAGATACGTTCACAACTACTAAGCAGCAGAACTAGACACAAAATCCCATTTGGAGAATTCAGAATTCAAGTTTCAGTGCTCTTACCAATATTCTCTTGCATTTCATTCAATTACAGAATGTGATATCATTTTTATTTATATACTTAAAATTTCAAAACTAACCCATCCTACTTAATAGTGATTGTAGCAATTTTTCCAACTCATTCTGGAAGGGCAATAAATATTTATGCTCTCTTAAAGGTATTTTTGACTTGATGGATAACTGTATTTTCAGAACCACCACAATCTATTAGGACAAACATATTTTTTATATTTTTTTACTAAGGCATTTTGCAGCCATTCCATTTGCAGAAAACTCCTTCTTGTTCTGTGTACACATTTTGACAACATTCATTATCTGTTTAGCAGACCATATCGGTTCTGCAAAAGCCATTATGGTTGACTACAGAAATTTAAAGTTCTTTCCTTATTAAAGAGCAGAATTTTGCAATCATATAGCAGATCATTAAATTTTACATTTTAAAAGGCTTTTATGATGCTTAACATGTCACTAGCCCATGTTAAGCATGATACTTTCTTTTCAAAATGACTACTGCATATTTTCTACTCTACTATATATATATATATATATTTTTTTTTTTTTCAAAATGACCACCGCATATTTTTAAATCTTTAGCCAGGGACCTAAAGGCAAACCAAGCCAAGGCAAGAAGGAACTGTTCTTTTGGGAAGCGGGGGGGGGGGGGGGGGGTGGAGGGAAGGTTGTGGAGAGCCCGAAGGAATCACTTTGCTTGAGTTAGCTGTATCTTTGTCGTAATTTTTTATTTTAAAGACTTGAGTATTTTTGTTTTGTTTTGTTGTTGTTATTGTTGTTAGGATTTCTCTAACCATGTTAAAATATACTAAGTTGCCTTATGCAAATTTTTTGCCGGACATTTTTGGTTAATATAACAAATACATTTAAAGAAGGTAACTTTTTAAAATACCCATGATACATAGTCATGAAGGTGAAAAAGTCCTAAGAACATGCCTGGCATTTAGATAGTACTGATCATTAATGATTCTTTACTGATCGATTAACTCACCACTGTAAGTGATGTGTTTTGTATTGAATATGTTTTTCTGAGAACGCTATCCTTAAAAGGGTTTTAGAACTATTGTTGAGAAAAATAAATGAAACACTAAAATCATATTTTATAAGATAGGTGAGATCATTATGAAGGCAAAAACAAAAGTTAGCTTTAAAGCGTGATCTATAAACTATCATGGATTAGTAATGCAGTATTACTCTAGACACTGATTATTCTAAACATCGTATTACTCTGATAATGAAAGAAATGTATTTTCCTAATATTGAAGTCATATCTAACGTTATATTTTGCTATAGTAAACTCTTCACTATTTCTCATATCTATGTATTGGATACCTCTGTGGGTTCTTACTTTCCATCCCAGTGCCCTGAATGTACATCCTAATCTGGAGATCATGGACCACCGTACCTAAAGTTACTAGGACGTGTGAAACACATGAAAAGTAGGCTAATTTCATCTCCATGTATATGTTAAATGTTGATGAGAATAATATATATTTTTCTTATGTTGTTTAGGATTAATTTTCCCTTGTTCTGAATTTCCATGACATTCTTTGTTTTGTTCATATGCTTAAATAATGCTATAGGGATTTGTTTAATATATATTTTCTTCATTACTATTTTGTAAGCCCATGCTTTATAAAATTATTTCAATGTTAATTTACTTAAGACTTTTTGCACAGTATAACTATATTTGTACAGACAGAATTTCAGTGTAAAGCATAATGTTGTGCATGTGGTAGGCACTTAATTTTTGTTAAATGAATGCACCAAGTCAAAAAAAAAGAACCCATATAGATAATGTTCTTCATTTTTATGATGGAAACCCTCCTGTGCCAGTTTTATAAACTGAGCACGTCTAGAGAAGTGCCAGCTCTGTTAGCAACACAAGAAATAATTACCACAATGGCAACACTTCTTAGAACGGAATGTCGGGTCATTTATCTCAATTTGATGGAAAATTATCATGCTAATCTTTTTGTTTTTAGATTTGTAATATGAGTGATTTACTACTGAATATCAGGTCTAACTCTTTTCTTCGTTTTCCTTTTCTTCTTATTTTTAGCTCCCTGTGAAGGCAATACATTCTTCTGCCATAGTAACATGTGTATTAACAATACACTAGTCTGCAATGGACTCCAGAACTGTGTGTATCCTTGGGACGAGAATCATTGTAAAGGTAATGATCAAAAGTTTGTAAAAGTCCTTTGCTTGTAGAGTGGGAAGAGGTTTATTACAATGTGGAGATGTATCAGACAGACTGAAGAATTAACGTGTATATGGGCTTTGTAGAACCTCTTGTATATTCTGTAATTCATGTGTAAATGTCTTTCTTTGCTTTTGCCAGAAGTTTCCTTACTCATTAATGTATAGTAGAGAATCTTTAACACTTGAATGCTCATTAAAGACATCTTATTAGAGCCTGCAGAGCCATGGGAGAGGAAATGAAGCTTTTAGTGCAGTGTTTTTCCTATCAGACCTGATGCCTGCACCGCTCATTTATTCCAGTCTGTCTTCACTGGACTGTGTGCACATACTCTAGAGGGAAAGTGAATTGAAGGAACATTTGTGCTTCCAGGTACTTCCAGCCACTTCCAGCCACTTAACTTGACTTCAGTTTTGCTACCAAAATGCTTTTCTTCATTTCCAATGAAAATAGCTTCCAATGCCCCAGCTCCCTTCTCTAGCCTGTACACAAAGGTTTGTTTATGTAGATAGCAATCCGGGGCTCGGTTATGAATGTTGGGTGTTTTAGTTAAGTTGAAAAATGCCAAGCATATTCCTTTATTTAGATTCAATATTAACTGATTTGCAAAGGGAAAGGAACAGGCAATTAACTCTTTCATGCTTAAAGTCCAGTATTGTCTATTAAAATGTCTTCTGTGGATAGAAGCCAAGAGGCATTGTCACAGTAGCCATGGTTCATGGTCAAGGAGAAAGGCATATGCAGCCTTGATTAGTTTGATGGTGGGAGTAGGTGATTATTCAAGGAACCACTTTTGAATGGATGGGAGATTAAGTAATTTGTGTAGTAGAATCTTAAATCAGCACTGTTAATAACTGGTAGTCATAAGCTTTATTTGCTCAATGGGATTTGTTCCCACATATAAGGACCATTTGACATAAGAGAGAAGTGAAGAGAATGTGGATGGATATGCTTTATGAGCTTCCATGTTTATCTTCTCCAGATGGCAAGACCACTATTTTGATTTCAAATTCATTCTCTTTTGAGAGGGGAACACACCTTTACCATTTCAATTGTTGTGACAGGCTCACCTCACTGTGGGTTCAATTCCAGACCACCAAAATAAAGCTAATATCACAATAAAGTGAGTCAAATGAATTTTTTGTTTTCCTAGAAGAACTAAAAGTTTTTTACACTATACTGTCGTCTATTAAGGGTGTGATACGGTATGTCCTTAGAAGCAGTGTACTATAGGGCGCCTGGGTGGCTCAGTCGTTAAGCCTCTGCCTTTGCTCAGGTCATGATCCCAGGGTCCTGGGATCGAGTCCCACATCAGGCTCCCTGCTCAGCGGGAAGCCTGCTTCTCCCTCTCCCTCTCCCCCTCTGCTTGTGTTCCTGCTCTCGCTGTCTCTCTCTGTCAAATAAATAATAAAATCTTTAAAAAAAAAAAAAAAGAAGCAGTGTACTATATAGCTTAATTAAAAAATATTGCTAAAAGTGCTAACCACCACGAACCCCTTCAGCAAGTCAAAATCTCTGGTCACAGATCACCATAACAAATATATTAATAATGAAAAAGTTTGGAATATTGCAAGAATTATCAAAATGTGACACAGAGACACAAAGTGAGCAAATGCTGTTAGAAAAAGGGTGCTGATAGACTTGCTCAATGCAGGGTTGCCACAAACCTTCAATTGTTAAAAAACACGGTATCTCTGAAGTGCAACAAGGTGAAGTGCAATATAACAAGTTCTGCCTGCAGTTTATTGGAGTTAATTCTATGGACTAACATATGGTGTATCCTAAAAAATGCCCTATGTGCCCTTGAAAAGAATGCTTGTTGCCATTGTTAGGTGGATTGTTCTAGAGGTGTAGGTTTACAGCATTGTTCAAGTCTTCTGTTTCTGTTCTCATTTTCTACCGTGTTTTATCTATTTTTTGAAAGTACCTCTTGAATTCTCCAGCTGTTATGGTTGAATTTTCTGCTTCTTTCTTCACTTCTGTAAGTTTTCATTTTATGTATTTTTGAGCTTCGTTGTTAGGTCCATGTATGTTTAAAATTGTATTTTTCTGACGGCTTGGCTTTCTTATTGATCTTTATAAAACTATCTTCTTATTTTTAATAACTTTTTGCTTGATTTTGTCTAATTTTAGCACATCCACTACAGCTTTCTTCTCAATGCAGTTTGTATGTTCAGTCTTTTTCCATCCGTTTGCTTTCAGTCCATCTATATCTTTCAATATAGAGTATGTCTTCTGTAGACAGTATATAGTAGGATCTTATTTTTTGATCCAGTCTGAAAATATTTGCCTTTTCATTGGATTGTTTAATCCACTCATATTTGATGCTGATATTGATGTATAGTTGGATTTACATGTGCCACTTTACTTCTTTTCCCCTCTATGTCCCATGTATTTTTGTTCCTCTTTTCTTCCTTTATTGGCCTCTTTTGCAAAGAGTGAATACATTCTAGTGTAGCATTTTAATTCCTTTAGTGATTTTTAATGTATCTTTTGAGTTATTTTCTTAATGGTTATTTTAGGGCTTACAACATACAGCCTAACTTCTCAAAATGTATTTCAGATTTATACTAATTTAATCCTAGTAACATTATTTTAATATAGCTCTGTTCTCTCTTTCTTTTTACCTATTACTTTTTTCCATATTATTTTTATATATGTTACAAATCAAAGAATACATTGCTGTAATTATTACTTTATATAATTTTAGAACAAGTGTATATTCATGTAGTTCATTATATAACGCTTCTTCTTTACCATTTCTGATTCTCTTCCTCTGTTTTTGTGGATTCACAGCCCCATCTGATGTCACTTCCTTATTCCAGGACAGTTTTGCTCCTACCTACCTCACTTGTATTGTTAATACCAAATATATAATATTTCTTTAAGTTATAGGCCCAAAAATACAATTTTATACATATGACATTACTCTTTTAAAAAGTTAAGGGAAGAAAACTGAAGATAAATGCAACTAAACAGTCCTTTGTAATTATGTGTATAATTGCCTTTATTGGCAATATTTATTTGCCTCTTTAATTTACTGTCTATTTAATTTTTTCATTTAGGTTTGAATTACTGTCTAAAGTCACTTACTTTCAGTCCCAAGAATTTCTTTTAATATTTCTTTTAAGGCATTTCTTTCGGCATTAAATTATCTTTATTTTTGTTTATCTGGAAATGTCTATTTTATCCCCATTTTTGAAAGTTAGTCATGCTGGATATTAGGTTTTCGATCAACGGTTTTTGTTCTTTTTTTTTTTTTTTTTTTTGCCTGCAGCATTTTGAATATGTCATGCCTCTGTCTTCTGGCCTCCAAAATTTCTGATGATAAATCAGCTGTTAATCTGATTGGGGTTCCTTTCTATGTGAGGAGTTATTTTTCCCTTGATGCTTTCAAGATTTTCTCTTGCAACATTTTTAATCTTTTATGTCAGAGTGTGGGTATCATTTCATTTGTCTTATTTGGAATTTGTTGGAATTCTTAGATGTGAAATTTGTTCATCAAATTTAGGAAGTTTTCACCTTTTATTTATTTATTTATTTGAATATTTTTCTGTTACTTTCTCTCCTTATACTCTCATCCATTATGTTGGTGCCGTTGATGGTTTGCCTCATTTTTCTGAGGCTCTGTTCATTTTTCTGCATCTTTTTATCTGAGTCTTCTTCAGATTGCATAATTTTCCTTCATCTCCCTGCAAGTTTGCTGTTACTTTCTTCTTCCAGCTGAAATGTACTGCTGAGTCACTCAGATGAAGTTTTTATTTCAGTGACTGTGCCATTCAATTCTAGATTTTTCACTTTTTTCTTTTTTGTAATTTTTGTTTCTTCATTGCTATTCTGCATGTGATGAGGCCTTATCCTCCTATATTTCTTTACTTCTTTAACCATTGTTTCCTTTAGTTCCTTGAACATATTTATAACAGCTGCTTTGAAATCAGTGTCTGCTAAGTTTGACGTCTGGCCCTCTCCAAGGCTTTTTGCCTCTAGTGTATGAATTGCATTCTCCTGTTTGTTTACATGCCTTGGGATGTTTTGTTGGAAACTTCATGTTAGATAATGTATTGTAGCAATTCTGGATACTAGTTCCTCCCTCCCCAGGGCTTGTTGCTGCTATCATTTTTTGTTGGTTTGTTTGTGTGTTTGTAAGTGTTTGTAACTTGGCTGGCCTGTTTCCGTGATGTCTGTCCCTGATGTTGCTGCATGGAGACCATGCTGTGGGCAAGCGTACCATAGCCTCAGATGGTCATGGTTTAGTAAGGCGCTCTCTGACCACCCTTTTCCTCTTCTGTCTGTCTGTCTTTGTTGGTATCACACCCAGATATTAGTCTCTACTAATTGCTGAATAATTGTTCTGTTATTTTGGACAGTTCCCAGGAGTATAAATTTTTCCAAGGTCTGATCCAATTAAATTCAATTCTGTTAGGAGTTAGTCTCAAGTCTAGCTTTTGTGATTTGTTCTAAACTAAGAGGGCTTTCTTTACCTGTTATTTTCCTGGTATTTTATGTTAAACTTCTACCTGTTCTAAGGTCTGGCTTGTTGGTACTGAAGAGCTTGACAGTCTCCTCTTAATTGCTTACTAGAAAATGTCTGTTGTTTTGAGATTTCCTTAGGCTTGAACTTCACACTTTTCCAAAAAATGTAACTTTCTTTGGAGAAAGCTACAGTGCTTTCTGTTCTTGGGGCCTGCCTCCCTTCATGGGCAAAACGTCTGCATTACTGCTCTAGGTGCTGAAAGGAGGCAGGGATGGGGACTGGCTTTTCTTGGAGTAACACCCCTACTTTATGAATAGGGTGCTGGATGAGGGTGGCAACTTCTGGTCTTCTCAGCTTGCCTCTCCAGCCAGACCAACTCTGTGAGTGATCTTGGGCAAGGGTGATCAGAGACACACATTCTCAGCCTGCTGCACCTGGTGTAGTGTCCATCCTACCAATGGGGGCTGGGAGGAGGGATGGAGCCCTTGATAACTCATCATCTTCTGCCTAGAAGAGAGTAACTACCTGCACTATGGATTCAGGGGGTGGTGAGAAATGCTTGTGGTTTGCTCCACTTGGGGAGGTACTGTAGCTCTAGGTGGGGAGCGTTAGGGAGAGGAAGCCCTATGCCATTGTCTGAAACCTCCCTAAGTAAGCTTCCATCATGACGAATTGGGGTGGGGGTCGGGGAAGGGGTTTAAAGGACAGACTCTCGCTGTTCTTAAAGAAATTTAGTAAATTTTCTTGAATAAATGTACTTGCATTTGCTGTTTCCATTAGGACAATTTCCAGAAACTGTATCTATCTATCTATCATCTAATCAATTTTTAATCATTTTTACCAGTTGTGGTTGTTTCATTGGGGAAAAGGCCCACAGACGGACTCGTACACCATTCCAGAAGTGTCTGTCATGAAATTTAATTACCTTTTGGTATCAGAATATTGGTATTACTGTGAGTATTTAAGTCAGGAATAAATTCAAAACAATATAGGTAAGGTCGTGTTCCCGCTCATCGAGTTTTGGATGTTTTCTTATACTTATGAGGAGAAAAATAATTTACTGTTTTTCACATTACTAATTTATTTCCAAATGTCATGCTAAAGGTCTTGTAAGAACTTTTTCAAACATATGTTGAAAGTAGGGATGCTGGGCAATGGGAGGTCTGTCTCGAAGGCTAGAAGGTAGGGCCCTTGTGAAAAGGGACACTTCTTGTTTATTTTTAGAGATTTGTTCATGTTACTTTATTCATGTTACCAATTGTCTGCTCAGTGTACTCCTTTTTGTGAGCTTTGACTACCATATTAATGCGTGGTGGATTGTTTCTTGTTTTGTTTGTTGTTTTCACTCTCCTAACCTGTAGAGAAGAGGAAAGCCAGCCTGCTGGACCAGCTCACCAACACCAGTGGGACCGTCATTGGTGTGACTTCCTGCATTGTGATCATCCTTATTATCATCTCTGTCATTGTGCAGATCAAACAGCCTCGTAAAAAGTATGTCCAAAGGAAATCGGACTTTGACCAGACAGTTTTCCAGGAGGTGTTTGAACCTCCTCATTATGAGTTGTGTACTCTAAGAGGGACAGGAGCTACAGCTGACTTTGCAGATGTGGCAGATGACTTTGAAAACTACCATAAACTGCGGAGATCCTCTTCCAAATGCGTTCACGACCATCACTGTGGGTCACAAGTGTCCAGTACGAAAGGCAGCCGCAGTAACCTCAGCACAAGAGATGCTTCTGTCTTGACAGAGATGCCTCCGCAGCCTGTCAAACCCCTTCTCCCACCCATGAACAGAAGAAATATCCTTGTCATGAAACACAACTACTCGCACGATGCCGCAGATGCCTGTGACATTGACGAGATCGAGGAGGTGCCGACGACAAGTCACAGGCTGTCCCGACATGACAAAGCCGTCCAGCGGTCAGTATCAATAGATTTTTTGATGACACCTATAACCTGAGGACTGAAATGCCTCCAGAGTATTGTGTTCTATTTGATCTTCACATTTCAGTTTCTCTTTTTATTAATGATTTAAACCATAGTGTCTCAAGCTTTTCCTCTCCCTTTCCTTTTCCGGGGCTATCCATAGCCTTCCTAACTCCTGTTTATATACATGGGTGTTTGTGTGTGAGCACACACAGACCAAAGAGATTTCACTTATTTCTATACATATATAGTATTTATTTCTACAAAAAGTACGGTTTTAATTTATATTATAAATTTGTCTTGCTCATTTGCTTCCACGTAGTCATGAATTTTGCTCTCATCAATACTTAATATATTTTCAGATATGAAATGATATTTGGAAATAACTGCCTTACCAAGATGGTTAACCCATCTCATTGAATAATTTTAATGTAAAAATAACATATTTTGCAATATAGTGTATTATATTTTTGTATGAAAATGAAAATACTGAAATCCTTTTTTCCACATACCACATGATACTTACATTACAATTGCATATAATAGTATGGTATGCTAAAATACTAAACATTTATATTTAAATGTAGAAAAAATAGTAGAAACATTTGATTCATTTTCCTTTTAACATAAAGATAATATTATCTGGATCGTATTATTAGCCCTAAAATTGGCAAAAATTTTGGGGAAAGAAAATTTAACTTAGAAAAAAAGAAAACCTATTCTAAACCCCCAAATCCAAAATACATATGTTTTGTTTTGCATGTTTACTAGCATTTAGTTCGTTTTATAAATGGACATACTTTCTCAATTCATTATGCATCCTCAAGACCTAGAATATTTTCAGTTGATTTAATATTTTTGCATGCTGATGGAAAAAATCTATTTCCACAGTTTTACGAATTTTTAGGAATGCTCTTAAGTAAATATTTGTATGCATATTTATTTTTTGTGCAAATATTACTTTGTTGAATGAAATAGCCATAACATTCCAGGTTCTGCCTCATTGGGTCTCTAAGCAAACATGAATCTGAATACAACACAACTAGGGTCTAAAAAGAAAATTCAAGGTAAGCGAATGCCCTTGGTTCCTTCTCCCACCTTTGTTGTATTCTGTTTTGTTTTGTTTTGTTGCAATTGTCTTGTAGATTTTTTTAGGGAATGTGATATTTATTCATTATCTCTTGAGATAAGTGTTTCATAACATTTCATAATCAGAAATATACTGGATTCAATGCTGATGGAGTGATGATTTTTAGCATACATATCTTTAAAATAAATGTTCATATTCTTACCATCAGGCATTGTACTAGAATGTTATTTAAAAAAAGGATGTTAAATTAGCAAGTTAAATTTTACATGTTTTAAGGTTAAAATACAAAAAACTAGTAAACTCCTTTCAAAAATATCAGAAGAAATGCAAGTTTTTCATAACAAAAACAATTGAATGTTGTCTCAATATAACTGAAGTCAACATATAAAGCTGGTAATTTTCTTATTTAATTTGGCAATATTCTACTCAGACTCACACTATTTGGTGGTACTTTTACAATCTGTGCACCCTTTATTTTTGCATGAATATGTAGCTTATTTCATGAAAATTAAATGCAGCATGTTATGCCAAATTCTATGATATCAAATTTGAATGCTTAACAATGTAAAATGTTCCATAAATACTAGTTGTCTATGTGTACATCTATTTTGCAATCAAATGCCATGAGAGCTTTACTTTTAGCACTTGATAATCTATATCTATATTAGACTAATTTGTCTCCAATTAAATTTGCTTGACAGCTAAACTCTTCAAAACACTTCAAGCTTATCAACTATTCTTGAATTAGGTGAATGCATTTCCATGCTCTATATTACCTTGATAAATTGGTGTATTTGTATGCGTTTTTCATTGGGAGAAAATGTTTTAACTGTGTTTTATTTTCAGAGAAGAACTATTTATACAAACATGGGGACTGTGAAATGAAAATTCTATAGTGAATTGTGAAAAGTGGACATATTTCTAAATTCATTCCACTGCCTTTATCCAAACTTAAGAATTACAGACATTTGTTATCCCTTCGGCAAGACATCCCCGCTGCACAATGATATGTTCATTTCGTAATTTGGTTGCTGGCCACCAAGTGCTCCTTAGTTTTTAAATACATTTTGAGATTTACTGGAAACTTGAAGAAGAAATTAGTTCCTGATTAAGACTATCCCACTTTTTCTTTTTACTGTTAGTTTCACTTTGTTTCTATGTTGTTTTATGTCCTTGTTGTATAATTGTACGGTGTGTGATATGTGAACAACAGGATTTTGGATGAACTTTGTGTTACATGTACATTGTTTTCATTAGATAGACTGCTTGAGAATAGTGCGTTCCTGAGGGATTTTGAACATGCTACAGTTAAGAAGTGAAAATATGGACCATGGAAGCACCAGCTAGAGGTTTTATGGACTATAAACACCTATTGTTGTATTATGATTAAATGCAGCCAAGAGTCATGAGTAAAAATAACTAGATTGCAATAAGAAACATCTCATTTTTTTTGTCTTTCCCAAATATCCCCAATTTCCTTTTTGTTTTATATCAAAGGAAGATACTAAGTTTCAGAAAGAGTTTTTGAAATCAGGTATTATACCATTCATACCCGTCAATAGAAATGTTTTTTGATTTAAGCACTTAGCAATATGACTGAATTGACAGTTTGAAAAAATACCCTGCATGTCAGTACTGGATATTTGAATTGGAAAAATATCCTTTTTATTAGACACATTGTAAAAAGCATGCATTCTCAAATACTGCTGTTACGCTTCCATTTCTTTGTGTCATATGCTTGCTACTTGTAACTTTTTATATAAAGATATATAAAAATGTATGATAATTTCCTAACTTGAGTTAAGAAAAATGTTTTCTTCTATTAGAGTGATAAAAAAAAAACTGGCTTACATAACTGCACACTTTATATCAACTCTTTCTACCTGTTAGGCTCTAGGATGTCTTTTAGTATCGAGGCTTACTTCTCTAAATTTGATCTCTCAAATTTTATGGAATATGTTCTCATTTTAGAATAGGAAAATCTTTTTAAACGCTTTAAAATCACAGGCCCTTTTATGACCCAAATTATGCCATTCTGAGTTGTTCTCATACTCAGGCACACATATAATACCTGAAAGCTTACTAATCATGATGTGTTTAATATAAATAAAGTGAAATCATATAATATATTTAATTGCCATTGAATCATATACACACTCTCTAAAGTTTGATTTAATAAATGGGTACTTTTTAAATATTCAATGTGTATTTTTAGAAAATAAATTTTAAAAATCGGAATTACTATAAATCCACTTACCACCATCTCCAGAAATGCTGAATTCTACAGAAGTCTGTCCTTCAAATAGTAAACTAGTCTGGTCTATCACAGTTAAAACATTGTGACTCAAGCAGGCTTTACAGACCCATAGATGAATTACTTGCATACATCTCTGTTAGGAATTCAATTTCATATATGCTACAAAAACAAATAAAAGGGAAAGAAAATAAAATTTTATGATAGAAACATTAAAGAATTATCATAACAATTCTGAATAACCTATATCGAAAAATTGTCAACATGCATAAATAATCACTTCCGTGAATGTGATAAACTGATGAATAGAAAAAATATATATTGAACATGATAAAGAAAGATTATTTCTGTTGTTTTGCTACAGATTTTATATACACTGCTTATGTCATAATTTGGTCTTTAGTATTTGACTTTACTGATTTATTTAATTGCATGTCAACTCTTATGTCCTTTAATTCAAATTTAATGCATCCACAGATTATTTTTGAAGTGATTAGTCATATTTTACTTTCCCAATTTAGAAATCTTCATAGGACCCTTTACAATTTGAATGAATAATCTCAAAAAAGTATGATATTCATGTCAAGTCTTATTTATAACAGCAAAAAAAAAAAAGGAAAATAGATTAAGTGAACCACTTTGCCGTTCACTTGTCCTATAGCTGTCCACAGGCAGTTCTCCCTAAATATGCAGAATGCTTCTGATCTGCTGTTTCAGTGCTTAAAAGATATTTGCACCCGAAATCCGCTAATGAAACAACAACAAAAAGTCCAACCACACTAAGTAAAATGATAAAGATGGATTTCTTACGTATGTTTAATACACAACAGCTCCATGGGAAAACAGAAACATTTCAAAAGAAGACTAGGTCTCCTCAGTGGTCATACTTATAATATTTAACAATGGCCATTGACGAATCATAAGAGAAGGTAGTGATGACATGGAGGCAGGGACCTGGGGCTTCCTGTTGGCCCTCAGTATAACTCTAGATGCTGGATCTTGAAAGTATAGGACTCCACAATACCTGGGAGGCCCCTGGAGGAGGCTCTTTAAAAGCCAGGACTGACATTTATCCATATATTAAAAACTCCTATTTACTGGCACATCAGATCCTATCACCTGAATATCAACCTTTGTTTTACATTCAAATGGGGAGACACATTGTAGTAAAGGAATGAGATGTTTCAAGATGTACAAGATGTTTCAGGATGTTTCAAATCAAGTTATTTTAATAAATAATTATATTTTTTGATAAAGTGAATTCAAATACGGCTTACACAAGTGCATTTCAGTTGCCTGAGTCAGGATTGGTGTGCCAACTTGGAGATGCGATTTTTTTGTACCTGATTTTATTATATACACGCACTTCCTATGCATCATATTGCAAAGTAGAGATATGTGATGTTGATTTTCCATAATTCACTTTCATTTGGTCAGATAATTAAAATGTGGCTACAAACGTAACTGGAGATAAATGAACTTTTAAAGGAGAACAATCCACATTGTGGAAATGTTGACTTTCCTGTTTTGCACCATTTTTTTTCCCCACTAAAAATACTTCAACGGGCCTGACTCCATAAACTGGTATTCCTGGTGGTTAATAAATTTAGGTCTTTGACAAAAACTGAATGAATATTCATGTAAGCTGTTGCATCAACTTCTTCTTTGTTTTTTTCCCTTAGGAATTTGGGTTTTCCTCAAATTTGATAGCTTTTAAAAAAAATCCCATGAATGGATTTTCTTCAACCTCCAAATATTATAATAAATGACAAAATATGATACTGGTTCCTGTTACCTTAATTAAAGTAATGGCAAATAATTTATTGATGTTTCGGTGGTAAAATAAATAGCATTTTATCTTATTATAAGTTTGTATATTTCAGTGATGAAAATGAGTCCTGTCAGATTACAGCTCTGGAGGGAGGTTAAATAAATAAAATCTGTAAAATTCTCTGAATCCTAAATGTATATGATTTGAAAAGTGAGTTTTAGGTTTTTCCAACTTCACTGAAGTGAGTGAGTTTTGATATCATGTCTATTTATGATTATTTCTTCCTTTTGCTTGTTTCTATCTGTCACAATATGGCACAGAGAGCCCAGCCAGCAAATTGTTAAATAGATGAAGAATAGAAGAATCAGGACTGGAACTTATTATAAATCTCTTATCCATTTAATTAATATTTCCCATTCCTCTCTTAAAAAGTAGCAAAGTAAAATATATTGTAAAAATAGCCAGAGATGTGTTTTTATAAATAATCTTGTTCCATAAATCTGAGGTCCTTTGTTAACATAGATTTATCCTGATTCATTTTATTAATGAGTTGTTTAAATTGTACTACAAATTTCTTTAACTGACTTTAACTGACTAATATCACCTGGATAAATCCAACAGTGTCATAGAAATACCAGACATGGATGACCAATATCAGACACTCTTAATACCTCACATTTTTTTATTGTGGCCTCTGGTTCTGTACTTCCTTGTGCATTATAAAGAAGTAAATGCCCTCTTAATATGCTTTCCTCAGAGGTAGGAATAATAAACTCTACCTGCTTCAGACTTAACGTCACTTACGAGGTCTAGGGTTGGTCTCCAGAAAATTGTTTATTTCTGCACCAGTACGATTATGTAGTTAAACCACTGCTTTATACTCCGGTAATTGTGCAGTTCAATATATTCTGGTTTGTCCCCAACTTCTACCACCGATCCAAGGTCTGAGGCATGCCATTTTACATTGGTCAGTTCTTTGAAAAGTTATTTTTTTGCTCTCCTAATAGTCATAGATGTAGACACAAAATGTAACAGTGAGCCCAAAACAGAATTATAAATTATTTAAAAGAAAACATTTATGTTATGTCATATTATAATATTTGTACTCTTTTGTCACTTTCTCATGAGTTAAATTTAATATCAACATAGCCAGTCTTTTTTGATCCTGTACAATCTATATACTGGGATTCTGCCTAAATGCTTTGGGGATGAAAAAACAAAGGCAGCAATCTATTGGGGAACATGATTATGGAGCTTCAGAGAAGGAAGGGTGTTTAGAGAAGCTAGATCAGAAATATGGAGCCCAAAATTATTTGCCAACTTTTTCACCTTAAAAAGCTAACTAGTTATCTCCTTCATAATCTTGTATGGAAGATAAAATATATTCAATTGTCAGGAGACTACAATGCAGATGATTTTTTAAAGATTTTATTTATTTACTTGAGAGAGAGAGAAAGAGAGAGCACAAGCATATGCGAGCAGGGGGAGGGGCAGAAGGAGGGGGAAAGAGAATCCCAAGCAGACTCCGAGCTGAGCATGGAGCCCAATGTGGGGTTGGATCTCAGGACCCTGAGATCACGACCTGAGCCCAAACCAAGAGTCAGCCACTTACCCGATTGAGCCACCCAGTTACCACCAGATGATGTTTCATAATAAAGAAGTTGGTAGCATGAAAATGGGATACAAATATCTTCTCAAGGGGATCAAGAAAGGTTTAATGAGTAGTCGTCCTTTTAAGCAGATCTTGAAAGTTGGAGACCATCAAATAGTGGGGCAAGGAAAGATTTTCACCTAGAGAAATTGGAGCAGGGAGTAGTTGGGAAGCCACATATTTATTTGAGTTACCTGGTGCGTTGGAGTAGACAAAAGGAGAAATAGTAAATATAGTTGAAAGAGTCGGTTGGCATTTACATCATAATTTCTGAGCGCATACAGTTTCATCTAAAGGAGTTCATATTTTATTATAAGGAGAATATTTTAATGTTTCTTAGCATGATATGGTTTATGAATTATACTTTAAGTCAAATCCTCTGACAGCAGTATGTTTGCTCAGTTGAATGAGACTGGAATAAGTAAAGGAAATTGAAACAATACAAAAACAAAACACTAAAAAAGAATTAACTGGTTGTTAGATATCCAGAAATATCTGTTTTGCTTTTCTATTTATTTTCTGCCATATTTTTTTAATGCTCAAGATTATGATTGGCTAACTAACCAACCCATTGAGTCCTATGTCCCAAACATCATTGAGAGTGTTTTACAATCAAGTGTTCTCTTGGTCATCTTAGCAGTCCTAACACTAATAATAACGATACTCATTGTTATGGTTGTTGTTATTCCGTTGTACATATGAGGAAATTGAAGAGAGTTTTCTATTAACTTTTCTAAGATTGCATGACAGGGAGTGATAAATCTGGCACCAACCTAATCTGATTAATGCCCGAATCAGTCAGCAGTCTTCATCCATGTGCATATGGCTCTCTAATAGTCAACATAGCATTAGCTCGTATTCATAGTAACCCCATAGGTTTTTGTTTCCTCATCTGTAAAAATATATATTATAGCAACTTCTCTCCACCCTGTCGCATTTAAAGGTCAAATGACAATGCATTGGAGGATATTTTTATATACTATAATACAT